AAATCTGTTGTCAAGGTAAGCAAATGAGACTACCGTTTAATCATAAGGACAATAGAGCAAAATCTATTTCAGAAGTTATTCATGGGGACTTATGTGGTCCGATGGAAGTGACATCTATAGGGGGCTCAAGATATTTTATGATATAGAGATGCCACTATACAAGTGTGATTTACATTATTTCTTAAAATTTTTTTTTTTTTTTTTTTATTTTTAATTCTTTTTTAGATTTAATTATTAAAAGGTGAAAGAATAAAAGTTTTTCGTACTGATCAAGGGACAGAGTTTGATGGGAAGTTTTTTCAAGAGTAAATTATATAGATCAAGAGAATTTTGCATCAGCAAACAAATGCTTATACTCTGCAGCAAAATGGTATGAGTGAACGGATGAATAGAACCATAGTGTAAAAAGCTCGTTGTTTGTTATAAGGAGCAGAACGTTGAAAAAAAAATTTGGGCGGAAGCTATAGCAACAGCTGTTTATCTCAGAAATCGATCAGTAGTGTCAGGATTGAAGAAAACCCCATATGATTGGTTAACAGGCGCCAGATGTAGTGGAATACGATTTTTGGTAGCAAACCATGAACTTGTACCAAAGAGAAAAGACAGAAAATGGGATAAAAAGTTGAAAAATGTTTTTAGTTGGGTATAGTGACAATATAAAAGGCTATAGACTGTATGATCCGATAAGACAGAAAATAATAATCAGCAGAGACGTAGTAATTGAAGAAAGCATAAGAAAACCAAGAAACATAGAATATGAACTACAAGAAGTATCAGATTCAGTGGGGGCTGAGGTCAGTCAGCCAGATAACTCGACTGATGAATCTTTTAGTGATGCTGAGTCAATCATTTCATCCAGCGATGAAGATTTTATTACAGAACTACCAACAGATGAATGTGTGGAAGTAAGAAAAAGTTCGAAGAATTAAAAAACCTATGCAGTTTGAAGACTATGTAACTTATGTTTGCATACAAGAAGAAAATCCTAACGATGATGCAATGATAACTTCTTGCACTCGGTAGTCTTCACGAATTCCTTTTCCATGTCCGTGCATGATGATCCAATCACTGTGAAAGAAGCTATGGCAAGTTACGATGCTAAGCTATGGAAAGAAGCAATGTGTGAAGAGATTCAGTGCTTTGAAGATAATGAAGCTTGGGAATTAGTGGACAACTTACCTGATTCTTCAACTGTTGTTCCATGCAAGTGGGTTTTCAAACGCAAAACCAGTGAAAACGGAGACGTAAAACATCGCGCGCGTTTAGTGGCGAAAGGTTGTGTACAAAAAGCGGGTGTGGATTACAGTGACGTGTTTTCTCCAGTAGTAAGACATTCTACTTTGCGACTGTTGATGCATTAGAGTATAGTTAAAATTTGAAAATTAATTTTTTTTTTTTTTTTATTTTGTTTTTAAATGGTGTACTTGATCAACCAGTATATATGAAACAACCTGAAGGATTTGTGTTAAATCATCAGAGAATAGAGGTAATACGTTTGAAAGACAGGCTGTTTTGGGCAAAACAGGGCGTCAAAGCTTGGATAGCGAGAGTGAGTGAAGTTTTGTCAAAAACTGGTTATAAACATTCTCACAACATGACCTTGTTCTATTAATATAAAAGGAAAAAAATTCATTTAAATTTAGTAGCGTTATATGTGGACGATTTTTTTGTTTTTTTTATTTTATTTTACTTTGAATTTAAAATGTTGAAATTTAAATAAAAGTTGAGTTTAGAATTTGACATAAAAGATCTAGGCGAAGCTAAACAAATTGTCTTGGTTGTTGGCTAACAGAGATTATAAAAGACATGCTACTTTTTTTTAGATCAGGAAAACTATATTGACAAAGTTTTAAAATCTTTTGGAATGGAAAATTGTAATGTAGTTAGTACTCCTGTGGAAAAGTAAAGCTATCTATAAATTGTTAATTCAGAAAAACTTTGTATTTACTTATCAACAGCTCATAGGAAGCTTAATGTATTTAGCTGTGCTTACTCGACCGGCTTACATTTGCTGTCAAATTATTTAAGAGTCAATTTTACAATAAGTTTTCAGAATTTCTTGGCAGTCGTGCTAAGAGATACTTAGGTATTTAAAAGGTACAAAAGGTTATAGATTAGAGTTTTCAAATGTTAGTGATCATTTTGATTTAGAAGGTTTTGTGGATTCTGATTGGGCTAATGATTGTGATAGAATTACACAGGGATATGTATTTAACTTATGTGGTGGGTCATATTTCTGTGGCAAAGTTTGTAGAACAAAGAACTGTTTGCAATTAAGCAGTACTTGAGAGATTATGGTTTCGCGGGCTTGGTCAAAGAAGCAGTTTATTTGGTAAAAATATTCTAGGTGAAATAATTGAAATTTCACATAGTTTACAATATATGAAATCAGAGTGCACAAAATTGTTTGGAATCCATTGTTCATAGAGCGAAAACAAGAACTATGATGTTAGCTATATTTTGGTAGAGAATGTATTACATAACGAGATGATAGACAATTCATTACGTAACAAACTGATGAAATTGGTAGAGATATAGTTAACGAAGGTTTAGGTAGTAATGTAAGCATTCGTATTATTGTTAAGAACTTGGGTTTTACTCTTACCGATTTGAAGATATGTGGGGGTGGTTGAAATATAATTCTAAAGGTTAGGCGAAGAAAAGTGGCAGAACATTGTTTTATAACGTATATATTTGGCTTTGGTATAATAAAGGCAGTCGTTAGCTGATGCTCAAGAGAGTACGTTCGTTTGTATTATTTTTCCCGCCAAATGTTTTCTAATACATTATAACAACACCTGCCCATTGCCATTTGAGGGGCATTTGACTCTGTGGATGACATCTATTACCTGGGTCTTTTGTCGTATCCACTCGTGAACTCGTTTGGTGAACTCTTTATATTTTCCTACTTGCCCGCAAACACGTATCCAATGCGTCTTGCGATGGTAGTACTAGGGATCCTAAAAGCATTATTAATAGCAATGTCCAAAGATATTTAAACGCGTTTTAGAGTTTAAATATCTTTGGCAATGTCCCAGGCTACCCAATGTCCCGTACTACCCGATTTTCCCCTATTTAACTTTTTAATACATAGACCGTATAAACAATATATCTGTCTCCAAATTAAAAATTAACCGCATATTACGTCGACAAAGATAATTGCACTTTTTTTCATGAGTGAAAAAATCCATTTAAATTACTTTAAATATTTTGAAACTTTCTCGGAAACCTTCATATTATGGCAGATTTGGGCATATACTACATAATTCGTCGGCTTTATGACGAAAAGGCGATTTTTACAACTTTTGAGGAGAGCAATTTAAAAATTCTAAATATTTATTAATTCTAATATTTAGCATAGTGCAATTTTTTAAATGAACATAAAATGAATAGCAGAGATGCAGCAAATTTTCCATGCTAAAAAATTACCCATTGGGCATGTCACGAAGCTGATATCTCGAAATTGCCAAAAATCGAGATACGAATTTTCCCTAGAAAGCCGATATGTAGAAACTAACGCACGCTATTTATTTTATTCAAAATAATCAACATTTAAATTCTTTGTATCTTTTTTTTTGTAACTACACTATTCTAAAATACCCTCACTTCCTCTATGTAAGGTTCAAATGTGGCAAAACTAGATTGAATTTTCTATTATTTTAATCATAAAATTTAAAAAATAATAATATACAAAGTGTTTAATTTTTATTTAAAAATGCAAAACTTGGAACCTGGTAGCAATGCAAACCTCTGTTGACCATGAGTATTAAACCTATCTACTATTAGAAAATAATTAAATAATGAAATGTATATTAATCCGAGTATTAATCCTTAAACGACTTTCAAACTCACATTTTCTAAAAATCACATTATTCAGCTACAATACTCTGTACATAGATTATTCCAGTATATACAAATATATACATTATACATAATATTACAGAGAAATCTAAGAATAAATAAATATGTTCCTATATTTCAAAAAATTTTATAAATCAAGAATGTATGTTTAGTTGCCTATTATAGAAACTAAATTACATTTTTGTATTTTGTATTGTCAAATTTGTGATGTCAACGAAGAGTTTGTTGAGGTTATATAAATTTTATTCTTGTTTTGCGATTTGGGTACTTCGATAAAACGGTATAAAATTTAGTTGTGATGCAACTATTTATCAAAATATAAACTATTTGATTTTTTTTACTGTGGATCTGAACATCCACTGTTTGAAATAGCTGTAAGTTCTTGTTCATTGGTGAAAGGGAAACCTTGCTGGTAAGTCTTTGTCTAGTTATAAACTATTGTTTTGTGCATTTTTTGCTATATTAATAGATAATTTACTTTATATCTATAGTACAGAATAATGGCCAAGTCTGCCAAGTCTGTTACAGACGTATTACTTCAGAAAAACATACTGCACTGTGCAATATGCAAAAACTTACTTTTGTCAACGCCAGTAATGCTAGTAGAAAATGCAGGGAACCTTTGTTCAACTTGCTATAATGAAAACTTTCTGGAAAGCAAATGTTTACAAAACACAGCTTTGGAGGAACTAGTTACTACCCTGAGCTATCCCTGTCGCTTTAGAGAAAATGGTTGTGAACATTGGAGTTCAAGCGGAGACCTATTAGATCATGAAGAAAACTGTAGATATCGCTCAAAAAAGTGTCCCATGTATTCTATATGTCAGTGCGTATGGGAAGGATTCCCCAACTGAATTTGTTGGACATTTATAAATTGTCATGGGGGAGCATATAATAAACTTTGAGAACAGTTTATTTTATTTAGATATTACTTTCAGTGAAGAAAAGAGTTGATTAAACTGCTAGTGATGAAGAATATAATACTCCTTTTAAAAATGCAACTTAGTTTAGAAAAAACAAGCTCTTCTATGTTGTTTTGTAATGTTAAAGATGATGGCAGCAACTATGATTATTCTGTAAAACATAAGGAAATAGTGAAAGCTATATTAAGACACGCTCTCGAGTTTTAGACTCTAACTATGTTTATAAGTCGAGTAGATGAGTGTGATGCTGTAAGTGTTGATTTACTTTCGTTACAACAAACTGTTAAAGTAACAAACAGGATCACAAATATTTTTAAAATAAAAAACATATGATACACCAGTTCATTATATAGGGAGAAGAATGTTACACTTTTTTTGAATGTCCTGTTTGCAAAAAGCTTTATAGAAACCTCCCTATTTATCAGTGCCAATCAGGTAAGAAAGACACTTTATATCACAGTTTTAACTAAATAAACAATGATTAAGGTCACAGCATTTGTAATACATGCAAACCTCGATTGGAGAAGTGTCCTACATGTAGAGCACCTTTTGGAATGACAAGAAACTATTCCTTGGAAGGTTTAACAGCAGGTGTATCGTATCCATGTATTTATCATGACTTGGGTTGTATGATGTCATTATCTCCAGCAGAAATAAGTAGGCACGAAGGTAAGCATATTTTAATACTCATAATGTTTTTATAGATAATTAATGTTCTCATGACTTTTCTGTGCTTTTATCTTATTTATAATGTTAAATCTTTTGTTTTTTTATAGCTGTATGCCCATACAAACCTTACAATTGTCCTCTGCCTCAATGCACAATGTCAGGAAGTCATGATATTATCACAAATCATTTACAGGAATTTCATTCTGATCATGTTGTTGTTTCTGATTCACATGGCTATGCCGAGTCCTTTAGATTGGAGCAGCATTCTTTGTACAACCATATTTTTGATAGGAAGGTTTTGCTAGCCTTTGATCATATATTCAGGTATGTCACTTGTAATTTTCCATTTAGTTTTTAAATTTATTAGCATTATCATTATAAATGATATTGAGTAAATGAATTATGAAATTATTAACGTAAATATTTATTTTGGTTTGAAATTATCAATCTTTACAGTTTATTGAATATAGATAGCTTTGTTTTGGATACTATTTAATTTCTGATTTGGAATAAATTTTATCCATTTGATTTCAAATATTTAAAGCTTAGCATACTCTAAATTTGAATCTTTTGTCATGAGAGATTAGAGCTGCAAGCTCACAGATAAATTAAGTTTTTTTTTAATTAACTTTAAATCATTTTAATGACTGAAGTCATGTGATGAATCTGACTTAAAATTTTAGTAATTTTCAAAAGATTTATGACCTTTATTCCCAAATAGAAAAAGATTTAAGTCAGATTTTTATATATTTTTATGATAACTCTGTAACAGAAGCATTTCTTTTTGAACTGTTATGGGCAGCAGATAAAAAAACCACTCAATACCACTACCAAATAAAGAGTTAGTTTTTCGGGACCGGTTTTGATTATTTATCGTGTTATGCATGTGTAGTGTGTCTGTTGTCTTTCAAGTGAATCAAGTGAATCCCCGATTCTGTTGTGTGGCCCGGAAGACGATCGAAAGAAATTGATCTCGAATATATAGAAGAGTTAAAATCCTCCAGTCGTCCTTAACTTATGCCATCGACATTACATAGTGATCAAAACATATCACCACTTTTTAATGGACATGTATTCGATGACATCTAAACTGTAATAAACATATAAAGTACTACAAAATTGGTTAAATTTTATAAAAAAATATATACAGGGTGGTCCGAATTGTATTCCGGAAACTTCGGCAGCATATTCTGCAGATAAAAATAAGTAAAAAAGTTCGTATAAATGTAGATCCTAAAATGCTTAGTTTCTGAGATACAGGGTGTAGAAGTTTCATTTTTATTTCGAATTTTTCCAAATAATTTCTGAAATAACGTCAATATTTGGATGAAAATTGGTGTCTGGGGATTTTTTAACATGAAAAATTTGGATTTTGATGTCAATATGACTCCTACTTGTAGAGGGCGCCACCTACATATTTTCTAACTGGTTTGAAGAGTAACAACTTTTCGTCCGTACCTGTATAAAATTAGTGAGTAAAAAAATATAAATTTATGACATTTTTTACTTAAAAAAAATCTCTTGATAAAAATCGCTACAAGGAATGGTTCTCGATATATTTGGAATCGAAATTATCAAGACCTATCATCATTGACATAAATTAAACATGTTGACTAACAGTTATTAAACTGAAATCATAAATTTGAAATGTCTTTGTCCCAAAAGTTCAACAGAAACTGATTATCATCATTTTTTCGTAGGAAAAATTATGATTAATTTAAAAAAAATAAAAATTTTCGAAATTTATTATTTCAGTCAAATAACTATCTACTCAGCGTGTTTATTTTTTTATCAATAATGAAATGTATTGACTTTTTCCATTCTAAATATCTTGAGAACGGTTGCTCGTAGAGATTTTTACCAAGAGACATTTTTTACGTAAAAAGTCTCGGAAATGTACATTTTTTCACCCAGTAGTTTTATACAGGTACGGACGAAAAGTTATTACTCTTCAAAACAGTTAAAACACATGTAGGTGGCGCCCCCTACAAATAGAAGTAATATTGACATCAAAATCAAATTTCTCATGTCAAAAGTCTCCCAGACACCAATTTTCATCTAAATATTGACACGTTACTTCAGAAATTATTTGGGAACAATCGAAATAAAAATAAAACTTCTACACCCTGTATCTCCAAATCTCAGCATTTTAGGACATACATTTATACGAACTTTTTTACTTATGTTTATCTGCAGAATATGCTGTCGAAGTTTCCGGAATACAGTTCGGACCACCCTGTATGTTAATATACCTATTTCGTTACTACAATTTAAAAATATTTCTGTAGTATTCAAAAAAAATTAAATTAAATATGGGGATCCATATTTCATGAATTTAGTGCGCAAACAAACTCAAGGGGGCGCTTCTTTTACTTTCATTTCATGACATATAAGATAAGTCAAAATTCTAAAGGGGAATGTTTTGTGGTATTTACGAAAATGGCTTGAGAGAAAATGATTGAAAAAGTCAATGCCTAAGATTTAAATCACTTTTATTTTCGAAATGACTTAAGACTTATGACATGATTTTGACATACGACATACAAAAAACTATACAAATATGTGAGTGTGTCAGTATGGTATTTAGTTAGTTAGTAGTTATAAATTTACAATAGGAAGTCTTTTTTTTCCTTTGACAGATTGACTTGCAAACGTGTCAGCGACTATTGTATGTGGGCGGCCGAAGCCATTGGCGTACAGAGTGAGCTAAAAAACTTTGTTTACGAAGTCAGTATCATCGACGTACGTCGCCCAGAAAAACGGCTGATAAGAACCGACTATTGTCTCAATGAAATGCCCGAAGAGGACCTTTTTAAGAAATGCATCATGTTTCCAAATAGCATCTTATCATCATATTCTAGCCATGGCATGGTATCATATCATTTTAAAATCAAGAAAGGGGTTTAAAATGTGAAGAAGTTTATCTCAGATTAATATTGTGATGTTTTTAATTATTGTTAAAATGTATTTCTTGCCCACCATAGCTCTTAACACTTTGCTTTCGTAATCGTGGCATAGTCAAAGGACTGTATAAACTAAAATAGTGATATATAAATATTTACGATGTATATGATAATTTTCAACGACATCTCGGTAATTTTAGTACATAGTAAAAGTTGATTTTTGTCCATTATTTTTTTTTCAATTTTGATAAAACGCAAAATTGACAAGTGTATCATTTAAGACTGTTTAACCTTATTTTAATGTAATTCTGAACGTATATGAATTAGGTTATACAGGGTGTTTCAAAAGAAATGCGAAAAACTTCAGGGGGTGATTCCTTGTTCAAAATAAAGGGTAGTTTGCTTCATAAACGTTGGGTCAAATGTCAACCATTAGGGAGATATTGCGGTACAAAGATGGCAGAAAAATAATGTTTTTATTTTTTATCTTGAAAACGAAAAAAGATAGACTAATAAAATTTTATGGAAGCATTAC